ATAGCTTTAATTAGTATGCCTCAAAAAGACCTACCAAAACTGGTCATAGCTAAAAACGAACTTTCATAGGTAAAATGTAAATACAATAAATGCAAAACCGAACCAATATCAATGTGTCAAACGATTAATGAAGACAGCTTCTCATTACCGTTAATTAGTCGGAAGCTTGAAATGTTTTGAAATTACCACCAAAAGAATAGAGTAATTTTCTTAAAAAGGCTTGCCTGGTAAATGCGTAAGTATGCGTATACCGACCGGCGCGCGCCGCGGGAGTCCTCCGACGCGATATAACTTATTAATTTATATTATACTTACATCCACTACCTACTCAAATCACCTGTCTAGCGTGTTTGTTTTTATAATTGCCTTGTCCCTTGGATATACGTTAACGACGTGAAAATATCAACAGTAATTAAAAACGCAAATGATCGTTCAGAATTGATGTTTGTCGTTGTTCATTAAGACAAGCCGGACGACGCGGTGAGGGTTTTATTAAATTTTATTGGCCCGTATATCTGTGCCGTGGCGCGAATACCGCCATAAATAAAATGCAGATTATTAATAATGAAAGTATTCCGCGGATGGTGTTGTGCTCGAAGGTAACCAGTCGTCTAATGACTTTAATGACGGAAATGCAGCTACTTCTGTGAAAAAACAGGGCTGTATGTATAACCAAGCAGTTCTAGGCTAGGTTTACACACTACAATAATAAATATTAGGACATACCATAAGCGATAATACGGTGCTTAATGAAATTCTTGAAAGCCCTTTTTCGTATGTAAGAAAAAGTTTTCTGTTGCTTTAACTCACAAGACAATCGGATAAACGGAAGCCAATCACGTGAAAAAATGTAATATTACTAACAAAAATAAATATTTTAGAAACAATCTTGATGTTCGCTCGCTGTTGCCGATGAGCGTAACGCAATCATCTTGTTTCTTATGAAAAAGCGGTCCGCAAACGAGATAAGCTGTGCACACATCTTAAGTGCATTATAATTGCCGTTCCAGTTGCGTCGGACATTGCATAAAATAAATACGGCGATAGCACGTCTAACGACATAATTCCCAGTGTAATAAATGGGATAAATGACTGTGATTACGCGACGTATGTGGCCCCTTGGCGAGCGCGGTACTTGGTTCGTACCAACTGACTGCCACTGTGATTTCGCTCGAGCTTTGTGGTGAGACGGAGTGAAACTCAGGTGTAGTTATTGAATAAAGCTGGGGTATATTCAATAATACCAGTCGATTCATAAACTAGACCATAGGTATTCATTTTGTTTCCATCTGTGTCATATTACTTCAAATCATCTACATAAACGTCATTTGTTACATAGTTACGAGTATGACTAGAAAAAAATGTAGAGTTAAGTACAATACCTACCTATACCAAAAAATACTTTAAACGTAACTCAACTTAAGTATTTATTTTTTGAAATGCTTTATAACGTAACTCTAAAAGTAAGAATTGTGGCACCTTAGTAGGGCTCGTAGCTCTAGGTTCTAGGCCTAGCTAACGTGAACTGCGGTCAGTCGACACCTCAGGCGACGACAACTGATCGACATTAGTCCGTCGTGCAAATGTGCGCTGATTGCACTTTCGTTGCGTCACACCGCGAACCGACTCCGGACCTGCACCCTACTATTAGGCCCTCAGCGCTTTAGCGTCTGATTTGCCGATAAAAACTCTTATCGATCGTTCCGAAACTGGTACCAAATTTCGGACACGTTATGCGGTTTTAATCATTCTCGTTTTTAGGTAAGCGCAGGAAATATAGTTCATTAATCATCGCAACCATTCGTCATTAGTTGGAGCATGTATAACAAAACCGGTAATTTCCATATTTTCATTAATTAAACGTTACGTACAATTAGCCTTAAACTCGATGTTGAGTGGATTATTTATCGGGTTGGCAATCGGAGAATGAGAGTATGTGTGTTTAACCCTGCGATGTGGTTAGGTATTTATGGGCCCGTATCGCGTCGCGCACAGAGGCCGAGCGTCGAGCGCCAACATTCGTACAATCGCCGCCCGTCATCGCCGCGCTTTCGTGCGACCATTCTCATGAATTGTAACGTTTGACCCCGATACCTCACGAAATTGTATTAAGCTTTTAAAGTTAACCCTCTAATGTCAATGTGACCAAATTAATCCTAGTAAATTGGAAAATTACAATTTCTAGTAAGTAGATTGAAATAGACTTTGATTATTTGTAATAACTTAGCTGATGCTTAACTTGATAACTTGTTACTATCACCATCACCTCACGCAGACCTAAAATTAGAATTAATTTTAAGATTCTTTTGAGAAAAATATGACACAAATACGAATAGGTAGTAAAATATAGATTACGAGTAAGTACAGCATAAGTAATTAAAATATCAACTGATTAACAAAGAATCTCAATTACAATGCACGTTTTATTGCAATACACAACAATAATATTCATGAGAACTGCCTACTCATCAATGTTTACAAAAAGAAATGTATACGTCGTCATAAAAAAAGGCATCGTAAGTGTAGCAAAAGGTCCCACGGCGGCATTGGCAGGGTTTCTAAATTACAAGGCTTACGAATGCAGCAGTTATTTCTGTATTATTCGAATACAGGTAGTTAAGTCGCGAGCTGATGATTAATTCGTCGGTTTCATGGAGTTTTTGTTCCACAATTAGGCAGTCGGGCACGCGTGCCAGTGTCGAGTTGCGTGGCCGATACATTGTTACTATTAACGAGTCCGGTTCCGTTTTCAGTAATTTATTACTAATTACACTTTTTATTTATAAATTTCGGTGTATTTACGCGGCTCTAATATCGATAGAAGCGGCCTAAAGTTTCGCTGATATTTGGTGCGCACACTTCACGGTCTTGACCTACTACATAATTAGCTTAATATAATAAACCGTGTGACGTGCGCGATGCTATCGCCCCATAGCTATGGGAAAGCCAATTAGGTGTGTTTTTCCTGAGAGTTGGGTCCATCCATCACCGCGCCCCGCCCGTTCCGTTCCGACTCGTTGCTATAGGGACCTCCACAAACTTACGATATTGGATTGATGTTGAACCTAATTGTTAGTTATAAGGCAAACGAATTAATTGGATGAAAATGTACTTAAACAATAAGGTAACATTAACTCTACCGAAATAGTTACAAGTTAACAGAAATGTAAAGTCTCAGCTGATTTACATCAATAGATTTATTAATAACCGTCGGTATAAAGGACCCCACAAACACTAGTTTAATAGTTTCCTAAAAAAGCGAAATTGATTCCGGTCACTCCAAATCAATTACACCTTAGCGATCTTATCAGTTCTATCCATCACACGTAGGTAACCTGCGTCCGAGCTAGTTTTTAATAGAGCTCTCGTTTGTAATAAAACGTTTGTATCGACAGGTCTTTGTTGAGTGGTTGTAGATAGAGCTCTCGGCGTTTTCAAAGTGGGAGGAGACGCGGGTCTGCGGTGAGTGGTTGGGCATGTGACATTTGCATCGGCACCTGCGCCGAGTGAGCCGGCTGACGCCAAGCAACATGTGCGACTAATTTGTTGCCAACAACGCGTCATTACGCGCGAAGCCCGAGGTGTCGCCGACACCGGCAATTTTGCCCCGTAATTCTATAAATTGCCACACGCATAAGGAAGTAGAGCACGTGACAGCGGCATCTCGAAGGCTCTCTAATTGACCATGGTGCGAAAATTGTACTGCGGTCTTAACAGCTGATAATTATTATGCTGGGGACACACCAGACACATTTGTCACAGGCAGTATCGTGAAGTTTGAACTTACACGTAACGTGGTATCTCAATTAAATAGGTAGATATATTTCCTGCAGTTGTGTTATCGATTCAAAACAGAATTTTGAACCCAAAACTCTACTCAACTCAAAACATAAATTCAAGCCGTACTTAGTTACTTGATGAACAATGTTGTAAGCTGGAGTGAAGATACGGCCGTCAAGAATTTATTGTATCACAACATACTCCGGGTGTGCACCAGGCTTTACTCTCACACCCATTGCCTTTTCTCCCGAACCGATCGAGTAGAAACTTCCATTATCATAAACGCATTACACACCATTACAGTGAAAACCTTTTATTAAATTGTCTTGTTCTGATTGCGATTTCTACATCATAACATTACCTGTTTCATTGTTTTAACACTTATTCGATAAATAAACGTTTTCTTTTGTTGTTGCCATTATTCGCCAGTAATCAACAAATTATGATGTTGAAATTATTGTGAACCAAACCTATCCAAATATAAATTCAATTAATTTTGAGTAAGTCAAAATTATCGCATAGTACCATCAAAATTTACTTAATTATCTTTCTCAGTAACAGAATACATTAATCTTTTCGTTATTACATTAATTAAATCTCACCGTACCTATAGTTTATTAAATTTAAGCGTACTTGAAGATATCGTAAAAGGCATCTTTTCATTGAATTGCCAAGGTGGCCGTAGTATAATTAAATGCTGACGGATAATTTATAATCCTCTATTTGTAGAGAACAAACACTAGTCCAATCCGCACTCATCGTTAATAGTCATTAGGGGTGTTCATAGCCTACATTTATGACTGACTTAATACTTTGCCGCAGTGTAAAGTTGTCAGGCGATAGCACCAGCCTGTGAAACAGTGTTTAGTGCGTCGATGAGACTAAACCTAATTTACCGAGCATGTGGAGCAGCGCACGGTCCCGCTCGTTAGTGCCAATGATCCCGCGGCGACCCGTAAATCAAGTGTTTTACGTCAACACTTTATAGCTCATTCAGCCTCCTCGGCCGCTTTATCACCTTGTTCCTGGCCATACAGCCTCCACGCTCGGCCGTACCGATACATCACGTCATTTATGACGATACTATGATACGACAGCTATTGACCCGAAGATGCATTCGGACGGTTGAGTCATCAATCATCTATTTTAACAGATGTACGAGTAACATTTGTTTTACGAGCGGCTGATATATTGGCGTTTAAAGAGAGTTACGGGCTGACCTGTCCATTTTTGTCCATCTCGTTGTTGGTGAGCTTGACCTTCTCGAAGGAGACGACCTGCTTGCGCAGCTGGTCGCCGGTGAAGGGCGAGTCGGGGTGCGGGTAGAGGCGCGCGGGCGCGGGCGGGTCGGCCTTGCCGGCCACGAGCCACGAGGAGCGGTGGTAGGCGTAGCGGTAGCGCTTGCCGTCCACCGGCACCACGTCCAGCAGCACGGCGTAGCGCGCCTCCGCGCGGCAGCCCGCGAACGACACGCGCACCGTCGGGAACATGCGTCTGCGCACAAAAACAACACTTATAGCACATAGCCACAAGGTACAAAACACCGTGTCCTAGTTGATTCAATTGGGAGTGATCCTGGTGACACTGCACCGTCGGGAACAATGCGTCTGCGCACAAAATCAGTACTGAGACATCTATCGTAGGACCGTAGGTGTAGGTTACACGTCTAGTTATATCGCAACAAACTAGAGTTTTACAACTCTCAACTTAGGATCATAAAACTCTCGTCTGGTGAAAACATGAATCTACGCACTAAATACAACACTTCCAACAATTTATTACACGAGGTCAACATAATATCGTCAGTAAAAATTAAAATAACTCGTCNTATACTTACTACACATAGCTACAAGGTACAAAACACCGTGTCCTAGTCGATTCAATTGGGGGAAAGCTGGTGACACGTGTCGCACACAACAACATACTGCGACATCATCGTAGGTGTAGGTCACGTCTCTTTTATCGCAACAAACTAGAGTTTTACAACTCTCAACTTAGGATCATAAAACTCTCGTCTGGTGAAAACATGAATCTACGCACTAAATACAACACTTCCAACAATTTATTACACGAGGTCCACATAATATCGTCAGTAAAAATTAAAATAACTCGTCGTCAATACCAGGTGATCCCAAATTTTATTGCGACAAATTGTGTCGACATAAAAAGTTAAACTTTCAACTATAAATTTTCCACCCCAGCGAAGACGGACCTCACTTCGCTAATGACCGAACTCATAAGAACGGACAGAAATCTAAATTAGACATTAAGAACCAAAAGCTTATAATCCCCAAAAGTGTTTTACGAGACCAAAACACATGCTCGCAATAAAAAAAGATGATTAATGCATCTTTACAAAAACCGCCAGAGATCCGGCCACGGACGGTGACTTGTATAATTACAGGGTAAAACGCGAACTAGGAAATCAAACAAATATGATGTATTCGATTTTAATGCACCCTTAAATGGGCCGAAGCGCTTCCTGCCGGTCACGAGCGATAACATCTCACCTCAGTTTATTTATGATGTAGTCTTTCTTAATATTTTTTTTCGTAATCTTTAAACGGCACTTTTGTAATTTCGGGGCCCGACTAAACAAGTAGTCGTTGACCTGTCAGGTTAGATAACCGTCCGCTGACAATTTGTCCGCCGGCCTAACGCGATCGGACGTCCGTCGCGCTACAGCTGTTTCTATTAGCTATATCGTCCCACTTAGATCTATCGCTACGATCACAAACACGGAATGTGTTATTCAATTTCTAAGTGCGTGCAATAAAGTTGGAAATTGAAAGAAAGAATTATTAGCGGCCATAAAACACGGCAGTGGTGTCAACCGCCCCATAAGAAAGTATGATAATAATAATAATAAATAGAAGAAACCTATAAAATTCTCGGAGGCTGAACGCACGGCCGCAGCACGACGGACGATAAAGCACGCGTATTGAGGTTCTCGAGTTAAGCGGTGGTCATAAATAAATCGTATTAAGGTATGTTTTGAATGGTTCCGTATCGGTCGCGCGGGATCTCGTGGTCGACAATAAGTCGCTGTCGAGTGCGTTTATGAGAGTGTCGTTAAGCGAGTGCAGACGCGCTGCCACCCAGCGCGGGCGCGTAATGAGCCGCATCAATCACGGATAACAATCGATCGCGCCACGAATTCCTCCCTGTCTCGGATCTGCAGGTAGACCGTCCCGAGGCTTATTAAAAATGCGCAATTTGCATATGCCTCACCATTTACATGAAAATATTCATAAACGACTCTATCACTCCTAAAAGCTCCTCTAATCCGACGAATTTAACATTCCAACTCGCATCGTAGGACTCAAATGTCAATGTACTGACTCGAACTTAAAACTAGATTAATTGGGGTTAGTTAAAACTCATTTGCTAATGAATTAACCACAAAATTCAAGTAGAAAACAATATGCAAATTAGCTCTACAATTTCTTGTTAATAAAACCGCATCAGATTGAACATAGTAAATCAACAAGTTTTTGTAATGATCATTAACTATGTACTTACACAAATCGCATGGAAGTAGTCCAATAAAATCGCATTAGAAACAAACAAACACACGGAGCGGTATGGTTGCATGATACACGCTCGATTTCTGTTGAAAGAGCCGTTGAAAAGCATTCGAGTGGATATCTCAAAGAATTATTGATGGCATTAATTTTGCAAGCAATTAACTGGGACCTGGTGGAACAAAGCTTACAGTTCGATGTTAACGCGGCCACGTAATAAAGTCGGTAGGAGCGTCGGCGGCGTATTTGCATAATTCATTTATAAACGTCCGCTCGCGATGCCCTCGGATAAGCTTTAACAAACACCAATTGGAAACGTATCTGGAAGTACATTAAGGTACAAATCATACGTCATAATCTTTGTAGCGACAATATAGAGTCCAAAATTGAATACAATGGCCGAAATACTGTAATTACGGGTATCACGCGTAGAGTCTACTGTGTTTGGTTAAAGCTTATTTACTATTCCATTTATAATCATTACAATGGATAGGTATTCGTAAACCGTAGTATCACAAAGTAAATTAAATATACGAGGGTAATGATTGTTCGTTTTCTATGCAATTGGTACTGAAAGAAGTCTTTAACAATCAACCAAACAATGGAATTATTTCTTTTATCTCGTATAGACTCAAAGGAATTCATTCTGTATCGTTTTTACATGAACCTTGATGGTAGCATCCATTATTACCCACATACTGTTTACCCACTGGCGGTGAGAAACCACGTGGATGACAGTGCGCTGAAGAGACCCAATTTCATGTAACAACGCCAATTACGTATAACCACTTCCGCGGAGAGGCGCGAAATTGCCCTACATTGGTCCAAATGCCTTTGTTTACTTAGTTCTGCAAGGGTCGGAGGGGAATTTATTTATAAATTGCTGCACTAAATGAATTCCCGTGGTTTGCCTTTCCTGTATTCAGGGAACAAATTTTCCATTGCCTATGTAAAATGACAGTCCAAATTAAGTTTACTTCATATGATGAACGAAACTTAAGTATATTTCCTACACAATACTTTTAATACATAATTATAAGAATTTTAACTAAAGAGTATCCCAAACAATTAGATTATGCTTTACAGGATTTATAATAAGACTGCAGATAAATATTAATGGGAAACAATCCTTTGTTTACTTTAATACGGTAATCTCATTACGTGGTACAAGTAATTAGTGGCCTCAGCCAGACTGTTTTACTGGATAATGACTTGATACTTATAATTAGATTATCATCGATTAATATGAGAGTGTGACCTTTGCTTTAATTAGCAAATAAATGCGGGCACACACACTGCTCCAATTCAAGTAGTAATTGAAGTGTATTAATTGTCAGCAGTTTTTCATGTCCGCAGGCTTGTTCTTGCGGGTGTTGCGTGCACGTTGAAATGGGAAGTTATCATATCGACGACTGTTTAATCGACTTTTTATTGCTTTAACTTATGCTAGTTTATCTTTCCATTTATATCAGAATGAAGACAATTATAATAAATGTAAACAACTCGAAAGAAATTAAAATGCCTAATATGGATCACTGCAAATTAATGTTGTTTGATAAACTATTTTTTATTAAAAGTTACGAATGAGGAACAATTCTAAACTATTCTTATATTATGTATGTATATTAAAACAAATTATTATTAACCTCCGACAATAATTGAACTAATTTTATTTCGTTTTGGCAGAAATATTTCTGAGTCAAAACTAAATATTACTCGTAATGTTGAAATAGTGAACTTAGTAGCACCTGTCGTTGGAGACTCTACACAATAATAGTAGATTCTGCATTGCAAAATGTTCATCAAATTCGAAACATGTTATTATAAGAAGCAAAAAGTCGAGATTAACTATGGCTTAGAATTTTTTCCGCAAAGATTGGTTATCAATCATTGATTGGACCCACCAGATTATTTGATTGATTCGTTTAGATATGATAAGTATGTATTTTATTTTGGTTTGTTTGGTAGCAGAACTCATGATGCGCAAGTATATTCGCGAACTAGTAGTGGTAAAATGTATTTTGTATGATAAAAACCAACTTTTTTTTTTTTCACTTTTACTATCAGAAAATCGAAAATTAACTAAAAAAGTTGAAGAAATTCATGATTCGGTTAAACATTTAAACCCTANCAACCCTGTACTGATAAGCATAAATAAAGTCTCTAGTATTATCGTAGTACACATGATCCTTAATAAACAATCCATCAAGATCATCTGAAGCCTGTATATTAGCATAGCATAGCTCGTAGAAAACAAGGTGGCTAAGTTAGAATTCTCGTAGGTATTTGTAATGAAATCATACATGACGTCGGTCGTTTATAAATGTCATTGGCAATCAGCAATACTATTAATATTGTGTCAAACGAGAAACTAGCAGCGTTTGTGTGAAACTGGATAGGCTGTATCTATCCGTCAGTCGATTGTGGCTCAAACTGGTCCCTTCTGTAGTTCCTTTCATAATTCGTCGTATTGTTGACTATTCTGGCAACGGTGTGAATACCGTAGCTTGTTTGTTATGCCCTCAATCTTGTTAGTTAAGTGCCATATTTATGTCCTTTGACATAAATCAATACAAAACTGTTATGGGCCGTATATTACCACATCCTTTTTTTACTTTTATGAACAAAATTCAACATGCTGGGTACAATATTTACGTTTACAGTCGATCGTGGAATCTAGAAAGCCATAGAGTTCTTTTTTTATTCAGCCAAACACGTATTTAACTACTAAGTAGTGGTCACGCATTCGCGTTAGACACACAACTGGTTGTATGAAATGTCATGCAGTCGCATACAGGGCTGGCACGCAACCCGGCGAGAGACGGTGCATTCATGTTTATTCAGTAGAAATGGGCCGACTAGTCGCCGACTAGTCGGGAAAGCCGACTATTCGGCATCATTTGTAGTCGGCCGACTAGTGACGACTATTCGGCAAAATCTGCCGATTATAATCGGCGCATTACAAATTAA